TTAACTTGTATTACGCAGAGCTGAATAGTGTATGGCAGGAAATTGATAAGCAACGACCGACTAAAATGATATGTGTTGTAGATCTTAGAATCAGACAAGAAATTCAAAAGGACCGTATCTATGACTTTCTTGCAGGTTTGGATGAAGTATTTGATTCAATACGCAGTGATCTCTTTCGTAAGAAATCTGTTCCAAGTATTGAAAAGTGCTTCAATACAATTCGACGGGAGGCTCAGCGACAAGTCACCATGCTAGGAGCAAAGAACACTGGTGAAGGATCATCAATTGCAATGATTTCCAAATCCACCACCGTTTCTAACTTGCACACTCTTCGAGCTATTAAGGAAACAGAAAAAGATAAGTTGCGTTGTAGCCATTGTAATGGAAGTCGTCATACCAGAGACACTTGTTTTGAGATTCATGGCTACCCTGACTGGTTTCTAGAAAAACAGAAGCAAAGTAAAACAAGAAGCAATAAACGACCAGTCCAAGTAAAATTAACCATTGCAACAAAACTTCCTTCTAGTTTTGTTGTCATGGCAATAAGCCAAAAAGACCACACTAAACTGGGTGAATTACTCTCCTTAGTGAAAACTGACCAGGCTTCAGTCATAAGTAAAACTAGAGTGGTTTTGTCAACATCCACGGTTCATGATATAGGTTGGATCATTGACTCGGGTGCCACAGACCATGTCGCACGTCAAAATCCATGTGGCGTCGGCCTTGTGATTTTTCTCTCTGTTATGTTTGATTTAATATTGTTGGATTCGTTGAGAGTCGCCACCTAGTATTTAATTGAAGGTAAGTAGAAAACCCGGTTGTACTGGTCTTGTCAAAGATTTCACGGGTAAGGGAATGGTTGTGGTTAGGGAAGGTATTAGCACCCCTAACGCACCCTACCTGAGATAAGCTGCTTTCGTACAAGTTTGTACTTCTACACCATGATCCAATCAAAATATTAAATGCTTCTTTATTCTCTACAATTTTATCATAAAAAAAATTCATAAAACAAATACAAACACACACATGCACTTTCCCTGTATTTTTCTTTTCTTTTCTTTTTCTTCTTTTTTTATTTACAAAATACAATTAAAATTCAAACTAAACAAATATTACATTAAACAATTTAAAAATTACAAAATAACCCCTTAAAAGTCCATAACAGTGTCGAGAAGCCCTTATGGACAACGTGAACAGTGCTCGTGAATAGTGCTCGTGAGCAGTGGCGGCGCATTGCTCCTTGGGCCGCCACCGCTGAAGGTGGCAGAACCGGTGGATCGGAAACCTCTTCGTCTTCTCTATCTATCCGTACAGGCGGTGACCTCCACCACTTCTCAAGAAAAGAGATCTGGCTGCCTTAAGGTTTGGCCTTCTTTCCCCTTCCAATCTTCTCCACCGAAGAAGATTTATGGTCACCTGAAATAGAAATAGAAAACAACACGACCGGAGAAGATTCATGGTCACTTGAAATAGAAAATAAAAACAACACAACAGCAATTGATTTTAATTATTTTTACAGGTTTGTTCTCGTTCTCCTCTTTTAGATCTGGTGGGTGTGGGAGACGAGGACCTAGTTCGATGGGGGGAAACCAGCCCGGGTTCGATCTAAAGGAGAAAGGAACGGCTGTGGGGCTGGCCTCCTATATCGGTTGGCGGCGGTGTGGCCTTGACTGTGAGGGAGATCAAAGAAGGGTTGTGTCGAGGAGAAAATCAGTGGCTGCTCTGGCCTTGGCTGTTTTTTTTAGAGTTGGAGGTTGGCTGGAAGGAGATAGGAATGAGGCTGTCTTGAAAGTTGAAAAATGTGAGGAACCGGGGGGAAAGATTGTAACAGCAAAGAGAGGGACGTATGGCTGGCCTTAGTTTGGGAGAAGAAGCTCCTGATTCAAAACCTCAAGGTCGGGGTCTCCCTTCAAATTTTTTTGATAGAGGTGGCTGGTTGTCTTTTGGAGGAGAAGGGGCTGCTGTTTGAGGGAGAAAAATTCAAGCAGGGAGGGGAGCGGCAGCCGGTTCTCCCAGGGAGAAGAAAAGGTTCCGTTTTTTTTGGGCTTTCCCTATTTTGTGTTTTTTTTGTCAAAATTGCCCCCTTTGCATGTTGAAGGCTGTTATTTCTAGGCAAAATGTTGCTTGGTTTTTAAAATTGATCCCTCAACTTTTTTTTGTTAAATTTTGATTTTTTATTTTATTTTTTTTTGTATTTTTTGAAAATAAGCAATATCAATATCGGCTCAATGAGGAAAATCAATGATTATAAAAATAATGCACTAAAATTTGAACGCGTTCCAAATATCTTTAAAAATTTAAATTCTTTTGAGATATTGAAAATGCTAAAAACGATGCAAATATATTTAAAAATGTATTTTTTTTAGATTTTCGTTATTTTTCTCTATTTTTTTGGATTTTCTAAAAAATTATCAAAACAAGGGTCAAAAATTGGAGAATAATCCAGAATTGAGTTATGACAGACCATATGACTTATAACAAATCATTATTCCAATACATGACTCCCCTGTCTAAAGAAAAACTCATGACAACCAATGGGGAGTCTACCCCAGTCATTAGAGTAGGATCAATTGTTCTCACTCCTAAATTTCACTACATAATTGTTTATTTGTCCCTACACTTTCAAATCATTTATTGTCTGTTAGTCAAATTACAGAAGAATTGGATTGTGTGGTATTAATGTTTCCCATGTTTTGCTTACTTTAGGATATCCGGACTCAAGCGATCATTAGACGTGGTACTAAGAGGAAGGGGTTACACTATGTAGATGACATTACTTCAAGTCATGTTCATCAAGTTTAGAGTCACAATGGTAATAATCACAAGAATATTTGGTTATGGCATCGTCGGCTAGGTCATGCATCCTTTGGCTACTTAAAAAAATTATTTCCTTCCCTCTTTGATGACATTCCGGATCCAAGTTCTTCTCTTAAGTGTAATGTTTGCATCTTGGCCAAGAGCCATCGAACCTCATATCCTGTAAACATGAATAAAAGAACAAAGCCTTTTGAATTGATCCACTCTGATATTTGGGGACCTACTCTAGTTACTTCCCAATCTGGAATTCGATGGTTTATTACATTTGTCGATGATTGCACCAAAATGGCTTGGTTATATACTATGCAACACAAGAGTAATGTGTGTAATATATTCCCATTTTTTTATCGCATGGTGTGCACTCAGTTCTCCCTACCGGTGAAGATTATTCGATCAGACAATGGTGGAGAATATCTTAACTCTGAACTCTGAACTCTTGAGTTTCTTTCAAAACAATGGTATTCTCCAT